GTGCAGGTGTGCAGTTTACATCATGTCAGGTGTGCAGAGGTGTGTCCTGTCCTGGACCGTGTTGGCCCTGCTGCTGTCAGCTGGAACCAGTCTGGGTGATGTTGATGTGCAGTGGCTGACCAAAACTGTAGAAATCATCAGGACGAGGTGAGTACACCAGCACCTCACGTCAGCATCAGTCACAGATTAAAGGCGTCGTCTAAAGCATGCTTTCCTGGGCAGGTATACAGAAAGGGGTCAGTTCTGTGCTGCTGTGAAGATCCCAGAGAAGCTGGTGAACCAGCAGAATCCAGACCTTGCAACGCTGCTTTCACAGGACACAGATGCAAACATGCAAGAGTATTTCAACGAACCTGAGAAATTTTATGCTGGTCTGTCTGTGGTGGCAGCAAAACCAGTAGAAGTGCCACACCAGGGAACTGAACATGCTGAATACCGTGTTTTGAAACATATTGAGAGTAAGTGGATGAATGACCACACAAATAACTTCCTCCTTGTCTACACATATCTCTCTCCATGTGTACACAAATGTGCAAATCCAAGCAGCAGCAGAACCATTGTGGAATCAATCGGGGTGATGGCGAGCTGGAAAGGGTATGCCCTGGTGTTTCAGAAACCTTACTCTCATCCAAAAGACTTAGCTCCAGTTTCTGAAGCAGAATTAAAAACTGCTCTTTCTGAACTCGCTCAAACAATCGGTTACACAAACATATTACGTTGTTACAAGCCAGCGATTGGTGCGTTTCGCTGTGTCACATGCTTCTCAGGTCCACAGAACACAGTTGTTGATGAGTGCATTGATCTACAGTCGGGGGCATCCAGCAGCAGTTAGGAATGGTTTGTTTTCAAACTGTAAAGCTGATGGTTTCAGTTCTGTTAGAAATACTGAAACTGTGATTCTCTGATTTTGTGAATAAATACTATATTTCACACTGAATCAGCTCAGCTTGTGTTTTTTGTTCTTCACACTGGCCTCATTTTAAGATGAGCTCAATAAGGTGCAGGTAAAATCAGGTGGAGAACTCCACCTAGTGTGTCCTGGGGCTGCAGGTGGAGGCAGAGTGACGGGGACCTCAGAGCTCTGATTCAGGTCCAGCAGTGTCTGAACTAAGCATGTTTATTTAAAAAGAGATGATGCATAGGACTTAATGAACACTTAAATTGATCAGGTTAGCATGCCAGAGTTAGCCACTGTTGGGATTAATATATTTGAAGTGGCTCAATTCAATGCTGTATATTACATAAAATGCCATATAGTGTAGTACCCCTCGTTTTGAAATACATTTACGATGCGTGGAGCAAAAAATATGAAAATAACTATACTTCTGTACACATCCCTGTCTCCATGTGCACACAGATGTGCAAACCCAGACAAACCTTTAGAAAACATTTTGGAATTGATTACACTGATGACAAACTGGCCACAGCATGCCCTCGTGTTTACACAACCATACACAACAGATAAAGAGGGTAATCTATTGTTTTCTGATGATGAGTTAGAAACTTCTTGCAGAAAAGATCGGTTATGCAAACATATTCCGGTGTTACAGACCAGGCAATACTTTTGAGTGTATCAGATGTTTCCCAGAACAGAACAAATGTCATGGTAACTGTATTTAAAGTGCAGCCAGCAAAAAGCAGCCTTCATCAGACCCAAGCATGGCTGCAAAGAAACGAGTCTCACAGTGACAGCAGCA